GTTTTTTTAATTTTTTTGCATAACTGCTCGCGACATTTCAAACACAATTTGTTAAAAACGTCAGTGGCACATGAAAAAATGAAATAATTACACCTTACTATTTTTAAATAATTCACGATCGTTTTTTATCAAATTTTATTATTATTTCTCATTGTATTTAGTTGTACTATTTATTTTTATGATAAGTGGACAAAATCGATAATACAAAATGTTGCAAAATTAATAAATTTTAGGTTTAGTACAATTTTATAATTTCTCCTCGCCCTGTAGATAATTTATTCAAGAACACGCAGCTCAACTTTGAGAGAACTCAATCAGAGTCAGAAGGGCTTAAGTTTTCTCTATGAATACTATTAATTTCTACAGTTTACTAGGTTTAACACTAGTCCAATTAGAGCAAAGTTGAACCTCTAGTACATAAACCCAAATTTGGACAAAATATTGAGTTATCCATCAATAATAACCTCGACATTTCGCACTAAAAACAAGCAACGTGAAGTGATCTATCTTTGTATAAATTAACCAAAACAACCCTTTTTCCTCCCCTTTTTTCCAAATAATAAGATTAAACACAACCGACTTTGCTTAAATGTTTTTTTGTAAGTAAATTGAATTTCTTCTACCCCAAATTGACAATATTAAATTATTGAAGTGGTTATAATGAACGTCCTTAATGAAAATCTGATAGCAAATTCAATTTACATTGTTTTGTGCTCGGTTTTGTCTAAACTCCAAACAGAAACTAAGTTTTAAGACATGATTTACGTCGTTATCTTTACTTATGTATTAAGTTGCACTTACTTTTTTTTGTAAATTGCGGCAAAACTGTATCTCAATGATATAATATTTTAACCTAAACATATGTAAAATGTTCCGGGGAATCGATTGGTGTCAAGAAAACTCTAAAGTTCGTAACAGTTTTGAAGTTATAGTCGAATTTATATTTTTGATATTTTTGAATTTATCAGAAATTTTCTCGATAACTATTCATCGTAGAGCACTGAAATTTTTAGTGTATGATAGAAAATTCAATTTTCTATCCAACGGTACCAAATATAAGAGGTTATCTCTAATAAGTCCGGAGTTATTGCCATTAGACCGCTCCGGATGCCAAAAATCGACCAAAATCTCGACAAAAATCCAAAAAAAAATTTACTTTAAAATTGATCTATTTTACGTTTTTTACATTCCTAGAGGTCTTAAGGACTCAAATAAGTGCATAAAACGACACTGGGTCAAGTTTCAAAAATTTTGAATTTTTTGAGTTTTTGAAGGTAGTAAAATCGTAAAAATAGTCAATTTACCGTAAAAACGCTTAATCTCAGAGTTCGAGAAAATTGCAAAAGTAAAATTGGAAATGCCTTATTTTGTTTATTTTTAAACTTAGAGTATTTTATACCAAATCACAAAATTACAAAATGAAGTCAAAAATGCTTTATTTTTTGTAAATTTAAAAC